ATTGTTTTAATAAAGGACTTGTCAAAGACCCTGTACTGTGTTTTTTTTACACCACACTTTTTTTTTTGTGAATGAGTCTGCGGGACCGTGTACCGCAGAATCATTCACGTAGGGGGGGGGGCCGGGATCTGGGGGCCCCCTTGTTAAAGGGGGCTTCCAGATTCTGATAAGCCCCCCGCCCGCAGACCCCCACAACCACCGGCCAGGGTTGTGGGGAAGAGGCCCTTGTCCTCATCAACATGGGGACAAGGTGCTTTGGGGGGGGGAGCCCCCCTGCCCCAAAGCACCCCCCCCATGTTGAGCGCATGTGGCCTGGTATGGTTCAGGAGGGGGGGGGGCGCTCGCTCGTCCCCCCCCCCCTTTCCTGACCTGCCGGGCTGCATGCTCGGATAAAGGGTCTGGTATGGATATTGAGGGGGACCCACGCTGTTTTTTTTTTTAAATTTCAGCATGGAGTTCCCCCTTAATATCCATACCAGACCCGAAGGGCTTGGTATGGATGAGAGGGGGGACCCACGCTGTTTTTTTTTTTTTTTTTTTTTTTTTTATTGCGGACCTTTATTTTTACATTCAGCTTTCAAAATAAATTTTATCTAGACCTTCAAAATAAGTAAAATCATAACAGAAATAATTATAAAGGATAAGAAACAAAAATATAATCACTAAAACGAAGGAAATCTAGTTAGATTACATGAAGATATGCTTAATGCTGTTTATTAAACACAGTAGTCACGAGCGAGTGCCGGCTGTCAGAGGAATCCACAATCAGATTCACTATTAGTCAGTGGCTAAAAAGCAAACGCCCATGGCAGAGGTCTAAAAGGTGTTCTGCACATGCTCAGTTCTATCTGCCAAAGACACTGCACGGGCGTCTAGATTTTTACTGTGTCGATTTCCTTGAAAAAAAACGATTTTTAACACATTCTTAATTTTTTTGGAAATAGCAGATATTGTTTAAAGTGAAGTCCTGATATTTGGCAAAGCAAATTTCTAAGTGAACATGTCTCTACAGTGATTTTTCATGGTGTTAGACGTGCTTCTTAGCAAGTCTGTTTTGTGAGTCTGATTCCGGGCGTGTGTCTTTTTGTGAATTAGATTGGGCGTCTGCTTATGGGCTCTGCTCAATAGTGAATTAGGTTGCAGGGTCAAAAATGGACGGACGCCCATGAAAATTGGGCTTAAGCCCATAAATATGCGCCCCACGCCCAATAGTGAATCAGGGCCCTTGTGACCAGGGTTAGCTAGAGCAGATGTGTGTTCTTGCAAAGAGTTGTACATAGAAGGAAAACCCATCTGAGTTACTGGATTTAGCAAGGTGTTTGTGTGTAAGTGTATCTTAACACAAAAACATAAATGTAATATACTGCAACTTACCAGTCCTTACATGTGGTGACTGTATTAGTTTTATTTTTTAAAGCTTCTTTTCTTTATTTTCACCTGGTGATCTGGCCCATAACACACTTCCTATGTCGGTGGCAATGCCTACTTGATGTATGGAGAAGCAGCATTGTCACCATCCTGATTTGGATTACAGAACACCTCCCCCTATCCTGATTTCCTTAACATAGGAGGAGGTGTTCTAAAGTCCACAGACTTAATTTGGAGGGCTGATAACACCGTTTAGGATTTAGGTGTAGCAGAGGTAGGACATGCTCACCAGCTCACTGACGGTAGAAACAACAGGTTCCTAATTTTACATATGCAATATATAACCAATCGCTTATGATGGTAGCTAAACCCAAAAGCAAAAATGTAATTTGTTGTAGCTACCAGTCTCTCTGTGTGGTAGCTGTGTTAGTTCTCTTTTTTCAGGATTTTCCCCTTTTCTGCCTTGGTGATCCTCCTAGTAAAAGACTTCCCATATTTGGTTGACAATGCTCACTATCTTTGGTGGTTGTTACCTTCCTTATTTGGATTACATAACACATCCTTGTCTCTTAACTGCCGAAACACTGGGGGAGGTGTTCTATAGTTCACTGTCTGAATTTGAAGGCTGGATAGCACTGTTTAGATTTTCATTAAAGCAGCCCTAAAACCAAATAAAAAATGTAATATATTTAAGCTTACCAATCATTCGATACGGTGGCCACATTGATTTTCTCTTTGTAGGCTTTTTTCCCTGTTTTTCACCTGGTGATATGGCAAGTAATACACCTCCTGTATTAGAGTGCCCCAACTCTGGATGAAGGAGCACAGAGGGCAGATTTGGACAGCAGCATTGTCATTCTGGGGGCAGGGGAGTGTTTGATGTTTCAGCAGATTTATATGCACTAGCAACCTGAAGCCAAACTCCAGCTGTCACTTTATAAGCCCTTACAGCAAACATTTTTGTACCTTTTGGGATAAAGGTTTTACATAAGTAAAAGCTGATTATTGTAAGCACCTCTGTCAATGGTAAATGGTTTGTTTCCTCCCTGTAACTAATACAATCTACAAGATAGCTTGTTCTTTTGCAAAACAACATACTTACAGTCCAGATCTCCAGAAAGCCTACAAAGATATCAAATGCAGCCATCACATCTAAGCTGCAATATAATAAATGTTTACTTTTTTGGTTTAATGCTGCTTTAAAACAAAGGCAGGAAATTACAAGCTCACTAGATTTCTATTGTGATGTAGTTATTTTTTTGCCCTTGAACAGATATAACAAAACACTTTCAGCTGTAGATTTATCATACCAAAAAGTAAATGGGTTGTTTGGATTACATAAACTTTTCAAGGTTATTTTTTTGGTTTGTTTTTGCCAGTTGAAAACAGCACATACCCACCTATGTCTACATTGAAATTTATTTGCACTTTTCATTTATCTTCCAGAAAATAATGACTTACCTGTTTGACTTTTCTCATGGACCAAAGGTACAGTATTGCCATGAATTTGGACATTTTCTTTAATGTAGAGCAGATATCCCCTAGTGACATCTTCTAGAGCAGTGGTTCTCAACCTGTGGGTCGCGACCCCTTTGGGGGTCGAACGACCCTTTCACAGGGGTCCCCTAAGACCATCAAAAAACACATATTTCCGATGTGTAAAGAGCAGCTACTGTGTAGAAAGCAGCTGCTGTGTTGAAAGCAGCTACTCTGTTAAAAGCAGCTACTGTGTTGAAAGCAGCAGTATTGGAGGTAAAACGACACTCATGAATTATAATTACTGGGTAAATAATTTTATGGTTGGGGGTCACCACAACATGAGAAACTGTATTAAAGGGTCATGGCATTAGGAAGGTTGAGAACCACTGTTCTAGAGAGTCATGCTTATGTGTTAAATCCTTTCGTGGCTAAGGGTAAAACAAATCTTAACGGCTAAGCACAATTTTGCAACGTTGACATGTGTTAGCAAAACCGTACATATCATCACAGGTACTTTGTGCATCCAGGTGGATTATACCTTTTTTTTTCAGGACAAATTTGGCTTTCATTTTGTGGTAAATGGTAATGAATATCTCCTGATTTTTTTTCCAAAGGAAAACTTGCTCAAAATAGTAAAAATAAAACCCAATTGTTTTAAAAATGTAGCTATATATTTCTTACTACTACCATAACCTGCCACCAAAGAACAACCCAAAATAATTTCTCCTGCTCCTGACGATCGCAGCGATACCACATATGTGTATGTTAGTAGTTGTTTGTACCCAGGAACAGTAGTATGCAATTTGCTTTTTTTTTTTTTTTTTTTTTTTACCCTGCCACTAATTGACACTGATACTAATTTAAAAAAAAAAAAAAAAAACCCTGACCTTTGACCCTGACCTTGACCCAAACACTAACCCTGGCACAGACCTAGATCAAACCTTGATCTAGGTATTTTTGTTTATTTTTTTATTATTATTTTTATTTATTTTTTACACACGTTTGCGTTTGTTTTTTTCTCTCTGAAAGGACAGAGATACAATGTATCTCTCTCCTCTATTCAGAGAGAGAAAACAAGGGGGACGGGCTTCACAGTGACTGATCCCAGCAACCAGGTGACCCGGAATCGGACTCTCAGTAACACCCCAGTGTTTGTGCTGGGGTGTGTGGCGCTCTCCCAGAAGAAAGACAGGTACGCAAATTAGCCCCACGGAAAAAAGCCCAGTTCTGTGAGGCCACTTTATTTGCGTGTAGTCGGCATCAAGGGGTTAAACAAGATTCCTCAAAATGTATTTCTAGCACAAACTTTTTTTTTTTTGTGGATGAAATAGCCTGTACAGCCAACTCAAACAGATGCATAAAACGTACTTGTTAGGAGGCAAATTAAATATAATGTTTATTGTACAGAGCGTTCTGATCAAGGAAGTTGCCCCAGGCAACACTCATAGAGTTCCCACAAGGACGTTCCGGTCTCATTGCTCTTCAGTAAAGCTGATCTTGTGCAAACCATGGGCTCAGCTTTACTGAGCTCCCTGTCCAGCCACTGTGCCTGTCATAGAGGCAGGTGCAGAGATTGAGGGTCCTCAATGATGCTGAGCATAATTAAATTGCAGCCTCAGCAATACTGAGCACAACACAGTGCTGTCAGCCGGGAGGAGACTTTTACTCCATGACACTAAGCCTGCACTTTTGGCAGGCTTGATACCACTGAGCTGACTGCCTGTTTGGGACCCATGGTGGCCATTTTTGCAGTGGAAGGGAGGAGATTTGAAGAAGGGCCTTCTCTTGCAACAATCGCTATGATTCTGGTTATGGTGATAGATCCATGTTATTTTGACTCAACTTCATGTCTCTGGTTTTATGACTTGTTAGTCAGAAAAGACCTGTAACAAATCCAACAAACCAGCCAAAAAAAATATAAGAAGCATCAGTACTACAAGATACACTTCCAGGTGTATCCAACCCTTGATTGCACAGAAGTATCTTTGCAACATTTTGCTGTTCAGTAGCACTTTTAAGTTTGATTTTTTTTTCTTTTTCAGCCTGGGACCCCACATCGGCTTTGGCAGTCTTATTTTGACTTAATATTGGTGGATGCAAGGAAACCACTGTTTTTTGGGGAAGGAACTGTGCTCAGACAAGTGGATACTGTGAGTAACGTTTCTGTTGCTTGTATTGAGTAGAACACTAGGGCTAACTATAAAAAATATAGTGAAATATTGTTACCTAAGCTGAAGAAGTATATGAACGACCTGGGAGGAGGGATGGAGGGGAGAAGAGAATCTCTTCAGGCCCATGTTGTACTCATTCAAAAGGAGGGAAAAGACCCTTCCCAGTGTTCTAGCTATAGACCAATTTCATTATTGAACACCGATACTAAGTTGTACGCAAAGGTTCTAGCAAATAGGCTGAAAGATCTAATGCCTGAATGGATTCACGGAGATCAGGTGGGCTTTGTCCCAGGGAGAGAGGGTAGAGACAATGGGTTCAGAACACTGATGCTCATTCAGAAAAGTAGAAAAGGGAAGGCCCCGACGGTACTATTGTCGATTGATGCCGAAAAGGCGTTCAATAAAGTGGACTGGGGCTTCATGATGGACAACTTAGAAGTGTTGGGGATTGGAGAGAGAATGCGTGAGTGGATAGGTAAATTATATAGGGAGCCCACCGCAATTATCACGGTAAATGGGGAGAGGTCGGAATCCATTGGAATGTCCAATGGAACAAGACAGGGCTGCCCACTGTCCCCCTTGCTGTTTGTTCTGTCATTGGAACCCCTGTTGTCTACGATAAGGAATAGTGGAGCGGTAAAGGGAATCCAGATAGAAAATACAGAGCATAAAGTAGCGGCCTTTGCGGACGACTTATTGTTTTATGTAGACAACCCTCGAATAACATTACCAAATATAATGAAGATCTTGAAGGAATATGGCGATCTATCAAATTTAAAAATTAATCCAACAAAAACAGAGATCTTGAACATCAACGTACCAAAGAGTGAAAAGGAAAAGCTACAAAAAGAGTTCCCCTTTACATGGAGAGAAAAAGATTTAAAATATCTAGGAATAAAACTTGCTACCTCATATAAACAACTGTATAGATTAAACTATATTTCTTTGATAAATGAGATTAAGGAAGAATTAAAAATATTAGAAGGTGGAAACCCATCATGGATAGGACGTATAAACCTAGTTAAAATGGTAATCTTACCTAAAATACTGTATAGATTCCAAATGGTCCCAATTAAACTGCCAGAGGTGTTTTTTAAGATAATGAAAAAAATGTTAATAAGATATATCTGGAGGAACAAAAAATCAAGAATATCATATGAAATATTGAGTAGAACTAAAGAGAAAGGGGGAATGGGACTACCTGATGTCGAGAGATACTATAAAGCAGTAATTTTAGCAAGAATTTATGATTGGACATTCAACCACAAGGGGAAGAGTTGGGTAAAAATTGAAAACGAATTGAGTGGGATTAGTTTGAGTAAGATGATATGGGTTCCAGCACATCTTAGAAGAGTTAAAGAAAGCACAAGTATTTACACTTTAAATGTTTTAAGGGTATGGGATAATTTACACAAAAGTAGGAAATGGGAATTCAATTCTATATTAATGCCTCTTGTAAATTCTGATTATTTCCCCCCAGGAAAGGATGAGATATCTGGTAGATGGTTTAAAAGGGAAGATATCCAACTGAGAGATGTACTGGTAGAGGGGGAATTGAGACCATTTAAAGAATTAAAAGAGAAGAAGGGAGAAAGTTTTTATTTGAATAGACGAGTGGAAATATCATCAGTTAAAATGCTTTATTGGAAAACTACCAAAAAACTACCCCTGAGATTAAAAAAGGATTGGAATATGTTTGAAAGGTTGTTGGAAACACGCGGAGATGGGAAACACGGAATTGCCAAAGTTTATAGAATACTCACAGAATTAGACACAGACACAAAGTTAATTTTTATAACGAAATGGGAAAGAGATATGGAGGTGGTGTTAGACGAGGACCAACAGAACAAGATATATAGATTGATACACGAGAATGTTAGTATGAGAGATGTGGAGATTAACTATAAATGTTTGACCCGATGGCATATCACACCGAGTATTGAGCACAAGATAAGGAGAATTCTAAAATGTGTTGGAGAGGTTGTGGGGAGGAGGGCACGGTGTTTCACATTTGGTGGCAATGTCCGAAAATTCAGGCTTTCTGGAAGATAATAGTTAACTCAATAGAAATAATAACTGGAAATGACATAGGGTTAGACCCAACGATATGTCTCCTACATAGTGTTGGGATCACAGTAAATAAATATAAAGAATCAGGCGTATGGTACTATTTAAATGCTGCAAAGGGGTTGATACCCAAGTTCTGGCAAAAATCAGAGGTGCCGAAGGAGGAAGACTGGATCAACAGAGTAATAGATAAGTAGAATGGAAAAATCAGGAAGATAGGATGGAAAAATATACTATACAAGATGGGAAAAATGGGAAAAATCAGGACTGAAAGAGAAGTATAGAAAACTATAAATTAAGAAACTATTGGGCCTCGAGAGAGTATAGAACTTGCAAAGGGGAGGGAGGGGGAAGGGGGGTGGGAAAGGGTTGGGAGGGGAGGGAAAGAAAAGATTTATTAGAAGGGGCAAGGTAGAAATGTATGGAATATTTATATGTATTGTTATCTCTTCTTATGGAATTTTTTTGTAAAAAATGAAAAACTAATAAATATTTAAATTAAAAAAAAAAAAAGAACACTAGGGCTAAACTATCTGAACAGTATTTAGTGATGTGAGCAAATGTATACATGAAACCTGCAGTGTCCCATATGTGATCATTATTTGTGAGGATTAACTTCAATCATACGATTCTGTTGACAATTGCATGTAGCTGCAGTTGTCCTTGTAAATTGCAGCATAATGCATGATTGGGTGTGGACAATCACTGGGTCATTAAAGGAGTTGATAACTCATTAGCATGGTGCTGCTACTTCATTGTGGAATGCATTAAGGTAAAACAAATCTTCTCCCATTAGAACTACAGTGCTCAGCATAAATTAGTAAACCCCTTTTAAAGAGTAAGATGTTAATCAATATCTCAATAAACACAAGAACAATAGAACAATATCCAAAATTTACACAAACATTTGTTTAGCACATTACATGAAAGTAAGGTTAATAATATATGTATCAAACTGGCCCAAGGAAATAAGTGAAAAATTAAGTGAAAAATTAAATGCTGCTGTTCAAGGATTGACTAAACATCAAAAAATAATAATAAAAATAATACAGCACAAATAATACAAATAATCAAAACTGTGAAAAATGATATGTGAAAGTCCAAAGAAAAAGTCCCAAATTAAAGTCCAATGTCCCAAAAAATGTGAACAAATTATTATTTACTCAAACTTTATAAATTTTCCAGCTTGCTCACATCTTCTGTGAAAAGCATTTTGTAGATCCACACTCACCAAATGCTGTGAATTCCCAAACTGGTATGGCTTTAAAATGCAAAAAAGGCAAGCCTGCAGTTGGGGTGTGGTGTCCTCAGAGATGATATAACTCTTTATGCGATTTCACACTGACTCTCCTTCCCAGATTTTCCTCATATAGGGAAAAACATAAAAGAAAAAGATGCCAGTGATATATTGTTATATACCGATAAAAAATATATAAAACCCCTTCCTTACACTCACATAAAGTAATTAAGCCCCAATTTCCATAGGGTAATTTGATCTCCCACATCACATATGGTAATCCACCCTTATTTTCCTCCAAACTCTCACTCCTGGATGGACGGATGGATGGATAGGGGTACTTTATGACCAGCTAGTTACTCTCAAGCCTTCGCTCATGGTTCCTCCTTAATTTACCCCATTAATTACAGACATTGATTACAGACATTAATTGCCTGCCACCCGCAGATTGGTTTCTGCTGTGAGTAATAACAGCTGAGGTGGCCCACCACTGGCGTGCCCCCTAGGCGGAAATGAGGAATCACATTTATTTATGTGATTTTGCACAGGAGGAGTGCCCTATAGCAGTATATCTGCTATAGGGTGGCCCTAAAGGAATAGTATACAACTCTAAATATAATATAGAAAACAAAATGGAACAAGCAATGTGGAAAGTGGAGCAACCAATCAGAAATCATATTTTACCGATCTCTGTACAGTGAGCTAAAATCTAGTTGCTTTGATCTACTGGATTTCTCAGTGCTTCATTGAAAAGGACTGAGCTGGTCACCTAGACAATGCAACTTTGTTTTACAGATCCTCATAAAGACAAGCTCATGCATTAAACATTATTAATAAACCTCATTGCAAACACATTAGTGGGAATTCTATAAAAAAAAGTGTCACAGACAAACTTTGTCCCAACTGGAGCACAGCCAGATTTTACAATTTCATTTTCTCAGCTGTGTGGGAAAAAATGAAAGATATACACTGGTTGCTATAGGTGATAGCACAAGCTGAGATAGAACATGTGTTCAATATTGTACAAAAGCAACATCTGCTCCTGTTGAAGGGGAATGCACTTACATTTCTATTGACATGAGAAAGCTCATGATGAGAACAGTATAGTTTCAGCACATAAAGTTAAAATTACAGAATTGCTTGGGTATAACATTTTAGACAGCCCTAGTTTCTATCACCACTGTGTTATGCCTAATAGAATGAATTCTTATACAGTCTTTATTTTTTCCAAATCACAACAGAACACCGGCAAGCTTAAAATCGGGACCTACACAGGACCATTGCAACATGGAATTGTCTATTCAGGAGGTATGGAACATCTATATTAGTAATCTGTGTTCCTAGGGTGATAATTTTAAATAGGTGAATCTTAAATTTGTATCTAAATGCGAAACTTTTTTTTTTTTTTTTATTTGAAGGTTTGCATAGTTGGATAGGTATCCATTGACAACTATGGAAATTTGCCTTACTATTGTCCAGGTGCCCCTGTCACTGGGGAAAAAAAAAAACAAAACAGAAAAAATCCAACATTTCTAGTCAAAACTGTCTAAAGAGATTGAATACACCTTGGAAAGATTTCCTCTCACATCCTATTTTGTGTACAGAAGGGGAAGTGAAGGAAAATCTTTCCAATTGTACACAGAAAAAAAACTGACAGAGATAATAACCATTCCCTACTCTATCCAAAATGAAAAAAAGTTTTGGATTTAGATATACATTAATGGCACAGTGGTTAACACTTCTGCCTTGTCCATTACAATCCCAACCAGAACACTACCTGCTTTGAAGTCCCATTTGCGTGTTCTCTCCATAGTTATCTAGTAGGTTAATTGGCTCCTCTAATACTGGCCCTAGTATTTGTGTGTATGTATGTTTGTATGTGAGATAAGAACCTTAGCTGCCCCAACCTTAAGTAAACCACCCCACCTTACTTGCATATATAGCTGCATCTATCCCACAGCTGTAGCTTGCCACATTCTTGTAATCACACAGCTGAACTTTTATTGTTTGCTTGCTGAGCCTCTACAGTTGATCCTCATTGATATCTATGGGCCCATCTGTCTGTTGTCTTCTGCTTTTGGATATGGCAGTGTTAGAGGTTCAAGACACTTGACATGCACATTAGCCTGTGAAGCCATTGTTTCCGGATAAGGATGTAAATTCTGCACTTATTTAAAGTAATTTTAAAATGTTTTTTTTTCTTAGGCTCTTCAGACATTGTGTGTGACTTGTTAGGTGCTAAAGGGAAAGATATACTATATATTGGAGATCACATCTTTGGTGATATTTTGAAGTCCAAAAAGCGTCAGGGGTGGAGGACGTTCTTGGTCATCCCGGAGCTGGCACAGGAGCTTCATGTTTGGACAGACAAAAGCTGTAAGATGTTTCAATCATACTGTTAATAGAACCATACTGCATTATAGTAAAATATGTAATATGGTCTTTAGATACTACTGTAGGACATAGAGTGCAGAGTTATGAATAATTTTTATCAGTCATTTACCTCTAATTTTCCTAATTGCTAATACAATAACAGTATAATACAATGAATCAAGGGTAATAACAATATTAGAATATTATTTAGAGAAAATGGATAGCTGAAATAATTTAACCCCATTTGTCTGTAGAGAACTGGCAGATTTAGTGTAATTATTTAGAAAATAGCTGTTTGTATATCTGTTTTATTTTCAGACAGTTATTTGTTAATACTATTTTGTGTTAAATGGTCAGTCCACTCAGTACTGATATTTCAGTTTACAGCAGATGCCAGCTAATGAAATCATCTACATTCGTTATATATGTGAATGATGGTGAAATAACAGTTCCACACACCAAATGTAGGTATGAGCCGAAAGTCTCACTCTATTGGGATTCTGAGAAATTTCTGTAAGAGTCATTATATAGCAGGAGAAGCAAGACTCCATGTTTGTTTGTGGTAGAGTCTTTTCTATAGAGTTTGATACTCTTGAGAACTTCTTGGGTGTTTGGGTGTTTCAGCCTGGAGTTGTACACCGACAACTGAAATGTCTGTTTTAGGTGGACTGACCCTTTAAGTTTTCATTGATGGAGTCATATTCTTTTACAAAATAATGGTCAATAACTTTCCTTGGTATATTGATACAAGCTTTTATGAACTAATAAATGAGTCTGATCAAAACATTTCTGAGTATTAGTATGGCAAAAAAAACATAGTCCATACCAGTGACTTAGAATTTATCTTTCTCTGGTTTAAACTTAAAACTGGCATCCAATTGGTTGTTCTGGGTCACTTTACTATAGACAACATAACTTCTCTCTTCACTGTTTGCTGAATAAGCCTTTAAGAGAAGACGTGGTGCAGGCTTGGTTTTCAGCGTATACAAGCTCCAGGTGTGGTATCCTGATCCTTGCTTTATCACTACTTAGTGTGTTCTTGGCTGCCATCCTTCATGCATGTTCTAGAACAGTGAGATTAGGATTAGAGGCCTGAAGGCTGCTCCTTAAAAAGTTAGTCAGCTCTAACAGCTCACATATTTCTGTCATTGCTGGTTCACAAAAAAATATATCTAAATCTAAAATGTTTTCTTTAATTTTGGGATAGAGTGCAGCAGGGTTGCCAATCCAGCCATATTCACCTTCACTCTTTTGTCTTGGTGTCCATTGTCACTGGGACCAAAAGTGAGGAAAAATTAAAAATTTTGTGTTGTTACTGATGCAAGAAGAAAGGCGAAGGTTTCCAGTGGGAATACTTGTTATGGTGGCAACTGTCTAAGGTTTTACACTGTTCCATGTGCGAGAGTGTAGTAACCGAGACTCATAGGTGTGAATGGATCCTTGAACGTTTCCCTTTCAATACATACTGAACTGTAGCACATAGATGTGAACTAGACACATAGGAAACCATAGGATTTCTACTTCAAAACGCATGAGTTTTCTTGCATGAAAATGGACAAGATTAATGGGCCCTAAGGTAAGATTTCCTTCACTTTGGAGAGATTTATTCTCTATGTCTTTGAAATAGGAAGTAAAGGGAAATCTACTTAAATGGACAGAGATGGCTAAACCTGACTAGTGTTTTAACTATTGAATGCACTATACAAACCTACAAAAAATTTGGTGTTAAATACACTTTAAGAAATGTTATGCTATTCTACTCTAAGGCCTAACTCCAGATTTATTATGACTGTTTGCTTGGGTCAGACTGGCCCAAACAAACTATCTCCTTTACTAATACATGTATCCACTGGGAGCGCTGTATAAACTGTACGTAGCATCGGCTTCATACAGTATACAGCACTGAATTCTGACAATGGTACTGTGACTTCCCTCCCTGTTCATGGAACAAAACTGAGTTGGGATGAGAGCTCAGCCTTTCACAGGAAGCCTTGTATTTTAGTAATGAATGCAAAGCTTCCTGTAATTGGATGAGATGGAGAGGTGGGCATATGATGTGACGATCTCCATCTCAGCCAGTCAGAGGAAGCTTTGTATTCATTCATAAAATACAAGGCTTCCTTTGAATGACTTAGCAGTGTTCAGCCCAAGTTGATTTTCTTCTGAGAATGGGACAGAAAGTCCCTGCACCACTGCCAAAACACAGTGCTGTATACTGTTACTGCTGGTGCTACATATAATTTATACAGCGTTTACAGCGGGTTCACCTGTTAGTAAAAGAAGCAGTTGTTTGGGCCAGCTTGACCCAAACAAACTATTTAAAGTCATAGTAAACCTGGAGTTAGGCTTTAATAAAAATTTACTGTAGCTAGTACTAGTTACCATTTGGTAATGTATCACTCTACTAATGACACTCCGTTAAATTCCAGTGGATTCACTCATGTAGAGCAAAGTGTGCATTAATTCTGTTATTGTTATGATCATTATTAACACCCAACATTACCTAAGTCAGAATAAAAGAAATCCCACACCATTCCCAACTCTATGCCTAGTAAATTCTCCATATAGAAACATTACCTGGCAAAGTTGTGTGCTGCACCCAGATCCCTGTCTGAGTTCAGTATGTAAAGCGTGTTTGTCTTGAATGTTGACAGTAGTGTTAGAAGCAGCTACAAGCCTCTAATGGGTGCAGTTCATTGATGTGGATAGCTGCACTATGCCCAGTATGTACAAGTTGAAACCGTTAACATGCAAACCTGATTTTACTATTAACTCTTCTGATAAATTCTCTTCTAAGCTGAAAATATGACTAAATAGAACTTTGCATGAGCTAATGATTAGTTTTAAATTTCTCTGCTCCACCGTAAGGAATTCACATGAAAGCTTGTATCTTTTACTGAATGTTAATCGTTGATTGACCAGGCATCTGATGCATCTGAACCTTTTTAGTGTCAGTCCATTCACAATTTCAATCACCAGCTGTCTTCTTCTTCCCATTATTCTGGCTCCTGCCACAGCTTCATTCACGTCACATGCTAAGAAGGGGACTTTGCACTTCAGGCTAGATCCTTCTGTAGTGGTGGGAAATTAGGACTTTTATTGCTTAGCATGTGATGTGGCAGTGTAGGCCAGGCTGCCTACTGGTTGAGTAATTGGTTTTGGGTGGACTTACACTTTAATGTGCTTTGTGTAAGTTTGATAACTCCATCTCTGAATAGTGGACAGGCTAATAACCTAGAGAAGTTTATCGCTATATTGGTAAGCTGATGACCCCAACTAGGCTGTTGTAGATAAGTGCAGGTGAGGGTTAAAATCTTTATATTGTGCAGGACATGTTTTCATGTCACCCAGAGGAACTTTAACCCTACATAGGATTGCAGAAACACATGTGCATGAGGTGCCTCATCAAGAGTCCACCACCTTTTTTGCTGAGTGCCAAAAGTAAGATTTAATTTTTTCCCCCTTAATCCTACTCGAGTGCTGCTTCAAATAAAATGTATCTTTTTTCCAATGTGTATTTAAATACGCACACATACGGTGTATTTCTTCTCGCTTCTTAGTTTTCGAAATCCATCCCCAGGTCATTCCCACCTTGCTTTGTTTCCTTCCTATTCTGGCTGCTTCCTGGCATCCTTCCCCATACCCATGTCCTGAGTGTCACATGACACGGCTTGATGTCTTCACTAAGTCTTCATTCTGTGGGCGGCATGCTAAGATTCGGGCAGGCTTGCACAATGGCATTTACTGTTGACACTCGGCTGCCATAGGGTCCTCCAGCTTGGTAAAAGACCTTGTGGTAGTGAGATGGGTCAGTTCTAGACTGTGCTTGTTATTCTTCGGGCAGTTTGTCTCTTCATAGTGTTTCCGTTTTGGGTATCTCTATTGTCACTCCCATGCCTAGAAATCTCTGGCTTTGGTGTTCTTGCTTTCTGCTTTCTTTTTCTGTTTTAAAGTGTTTGCTTATATTAGACACCAGTATATGTTGTTTTGTTCATATTGTGACTTCCATGTTAAGTTTTTCATATGCTGCTGTCATTTTATTTAATTCAGCACTTTTTGAAGAGCTTCAGAGCTTGGATATCTTCTTGGCAGAACTGTACAAGTAAGTAGTATATGATCCTTTGTGAGTGTACAAGATGGAAAGAGTAATAGCATGATTTGGTCTTCAGAGCTGTAGCAGGAATATGAAGCTACTCTCGTATCCTTGAAACACCTCTGAGTCCTGTGCATTTCTCCCTCCAGTTTCAGCTGCTGGTAGCCTCCGGGTACCACCATCTCTCCACACTGTGTGAAAGTAGCAAAGTTGTACACGTTCATCACTTACATGCAAAAACTTTATTCTGTCAGCAGTGACAGAGACTCTCCATTGTGGTATTGTTTATTGTAATGTGTCAGAGGGAAGATGTGGATGGGGTGTGTATATCACTGCTGACAGAATAAAGTTTTTGCACACAGTGGGGTTGATTTACTAAAACTGGAATATGCAAAATCTGGAGCAGCTCTGCATAGAAACTAGTCAGCTTTGTCAAAGTTTAGTTGAACAAGCTGAAGTTAGAAGCTGATTGGCTACCGTGCACAGCTGCACTAGATTTTGCACACTCTAGTTTTAGTAACACACACACACACACACAGACACACACACACACACACACACACACACACTCTCTCTCTCTCTCTCTCTCTCTCTCTCTCTCTCGTTTCTCCTTCTAAGCTTCTTATGCACCTGAGAACATGTGATCATTTAGAGCTGATTCACACACGTGTGGTGCAGATTGAAGTTCAGGTTTCACAGCTAATTGAGACAGTAGTTGTTCAGGTCAGGTTTACATCAGGATCAGGTCAGGATTTTATCCTGTTCACACTTGTGAGGTTTAGAAATGGTTCCTATAGAAGTCAACAGCCTGTAGTCCACACCTGAACCAGACCGCACTGCTCATAAATAGTACAGGACTCTTTCAATCCGCACTGAAACCACACTGCCAGTGCACCGGACATACAATATTTTGCCAAAAGTATTGGGACGCCTGCCTTTACACGCTCATGAACTTTAATGGCATCCCAGTCTTAGTCTGTAGGGTTCAATATTGAGTTGGCCCACCCTTTGCCGCTATAACAGCTTCAGCTCTTCTGGGAAGGCTGTCCAAAAGGTTTAGGAGTGTGTCGATGGGATGTTTGACCATTCTTCCAGAAGCGCATTTGTGAGGTCAGGCACTGATGGCGGACGAGAAGGCCTGGCTCTCCGTCTCCGCTCTAATTCATCCCAAAGGTGTTCTGTCAGGTTGAGGTCAGGACTCTCTGCAGGCCAGTCAAGTTCCTCCACCCAAAACTCTCTCATCCATTTATTTATGGACCTTGCTTTGTGCACTGGTGCACAAATACGTTTGACTATAGTGTATGTGAACAGACACCATAGGAAGCAATGTTATTTCACATGTCATGCGTATTGGATGCAGTTCATACTGCATTCAATCCGCATATATGTGAACCAGCACCTATAAAAAAGGTAGTTATAATGTTTTTTATATGTATACACAAATGTTTTGCCTTTCATTTCTATTTTAAATTGCATGGGTTGTTTTAGAAGGTGAGGGTGCACATTACTTTAAATTGTTTGCTCAAAATGTATTCAGTCAGGTGGGCCCACATAGTATGCAACCTTTACTATATATAGTTCATCTGGCAAATCAAATCTGAAACAAAACCTGATTTTGTGACAGCATTACACCCACAACTTTCTGAAAATAAAGGAAGCAGGGGAAGACCTGGGAAAAACACTTACACCATAAGGGTCTCTTATAAAGTAGCAGTTTGGTTTAATATGAAGAAGGGTCAGCCGCACAAAGTGTGTATTGATCCATAGGACACACAAAACACCAGGACATAAACACAGGATCTGTTAACGCGTTTTACACAATCTCATGCATAATCATAATTGTTATGTTTAAGAACGAGATCGTGTGAAATGCGTTAACAAGTCCTGTATTCATGTCCTGGTGTTGTGTGTCCTATGGATCAATAAATATACACTATATTCATATATCCTCTGGTGTGCGGCTGACCCTTCTTCCTGTTGCATCGTGTGTGGTGGTGAGCCGGAGCCTGCACCTATCGTGGATTGATCTGGATTGTTTCCTGAGCGGTATACCTCTGTTCTTTGAGCAGTTTGGTTAAACTGCAGCCACACCACTGCTTTTCTGTTAGAAGCTACTCTGGCACATTTATGATGAACTGCTATGTGTTTTATAAATGTGTTTTGCTTGTTTTAGGCCTCTGAAGCAAGCAACACCCTGTCTGTTCTCATGAATGGAAATAAAAGGGTGCTGGCAGGAGCTGGAGGATACCTGGTACATAACCTAAAAGCTCAAGTATTCTGATTCTGAATTGAAGGAGTGTGGTAAGGTTAGAACTGTCAGGTATTCCTTGCTGTTTGGGTTCATGCTATGTAGGATTTCCCGTCATTTCTGACCAGCTACTGCGACAGGAAGTGAGGGAAAATCACGGCAAGGACACAGACATCAATAAAAGCCTGAGAGTTGTTCTTCCATACTTCAACCAAAGTAGAAAAAAAGTTTAGGTTGGAGCTGAGCTTCAATTCAGCACATGGTTCAGTAGTTGGCATGTACTAGAGCCTTGCGTGATTAAGCAGTCTGTTTTACAATTTGTCTTTATGTAGATGAATTAACCCTGAAAATGTTATATCCTAGACACCTGGACAGTAGCAGTAATGAGAGACCTGACATCAGCTCCATCCAGAGGCGGATTAAGGTATTACAGACATTTATACCCAGAAGTAATTTCCGTTTGCTACTGATAATAACTTCTTAGGGTTGATTTACTAAAACTGGCAAGTGCAACATCTGATGCAGATCTGCATAGAAACCAGACAGCTTCCAGGTTTTTTTTTTTTTATCAAAGCTTAACTGAACAAGTTGAAGTTAGAAACTGATTGACGACCATGCACAGCTGCACCAGATTTAGCATTCTCCAGTTTTAGTAAATCAACCCCAATATGTGGCATCTCATTCATTTTTTTAGTTTTGTTTTTTTAATACACGTGAAACCACTGTATATAATAAGCAACTGTGTTTTATAGATTGCTGTCTGAAAGCTCAAGTGTGTAAAATCAGGCTTCTTTGTGCTCTACAAAGTATTGCCAAGATTATAATATCCAATATGATGTAACTCTCCTTCTGACATATTTTACCATACAAATACCCAAACTGGTCTGTTTAGTGTACATTCAGGCTATGTGACAGGATCCTTTATACTTTTATTAGATTTTTGCAAAACCGGGGCATAGTTTGGAATTTTTATTGGGATGCACAAACTCTACATATTTTAGAAATGCATATGTTAATGACCATCATTTTGTCTCTTTATGTGTTATGCAGAAAGTCACTCACGACATGGACATGTGCTATGGGATGATGGGAAGCCTTTTCCGCAGCGGCTCCCGTCAGACATTGTTTGCCAGTCAAGTTATGCGATATGCAGATCTCTATGCAGCTTCCTTCATCAATCTCTTGTATTACCCATTCAGCTACCTCTTCAGAGCAGCACATGTCCTGGTAAGTCTCTCCTCACCCAGCACCTGCTTTGATGTCTGTGTCCCTCTGCCCTCACCCCCGCAATATGACTGCTGGGCAGTATACATACATTTCCAACAAGAATTTATCGGCAAATCTTACTAGCAGAGAAATTCCCCTTTTGGCAGGTGTATAAGTTTTTCTACAAAAAAAATATGGAGAATGCTGTTGCTGATCTATTTGTAATAAATGCTAGATGAACAAAACAAAAGTCCCCTGCACTCAAGAGTGGTATACTGTGATAGAAAACTGTCAGGTCCTTAGCACATTCATTGTCAGGATAGGTCTTGCTGGGGAAACCCAGAAGAATCACTGTAAAACAAGGGAAACGAGGGCGCACCAGCCTATACGCACAAACAACTGTGGTAACAAAAGTGTATCAAAGTCTAAAGCGACCAAATCCGCTCCCAAACGCTAGAGAACCCTCCAGATAACTGACACATTTCAAGGGGTGATCCCCTCTTCCTCAGAACCAATCTTACATGTTGTATTAACAGTCTTAATATACCAAATGATGAGGTCACATGATATTTTACAAACTGCTCCCATTCAGGGGTGGGGTGATAACCCAATCAATGTACAGCTAGCTGAGATTATGGCAAATTTCAAATAATCAATATACACCACACATAAATGTATATAAAAAAAATAAAAATAAATAAATGAGAAATGCAAAAATATGTTAGAAAAAAATATATACAACTTGGCAATAAAATCAACAGATTGATTGACCTGCACGTATATGCGTTCTTATCGGGCAACACTATGTAATAAATGCTATGTAGTTCATGTATCTCTGAACCAGCTCCTTTAAAATTATTGGAGTGCTCCTCTATAGGAAAGATGCATCCACTGATAGTGGGGAAAGAAAATAAAATTGGCGTGGATTGTCCAGCAGATTGCAGTGTAGCTTGATGGAACGCATGCCACCCGAAAACAGGAAGTTCGGCATGTGCATGCGTTACTGCCGTGACTTCTGGTGACGTCATGTCCAATTTATGGATAGATCGAGAAACCCCAGAAATGGAGCAGCTGATGGGGACACCCTGCAGAGCGGATAGTAACCCACTCAGGCACTGAGACATCTTGCCAAAAATTGCATAGGCTGCAACAATGGCAGTACTGCCAACAATTGGAGAAGACAAAAAAAACAATAGATGGAAATTGAACATAAGGGATGAATGTTACAAAATAGTGACAAATAATAATAAAAAATGACAAAATGACACGGCTGCCACACATATACCTATTGTAGTTTAAAAATTGTATGTATATAAACATTTTTTTTTTTTTTTTATATACATACAATATATGTATGTATGTGTATATATATGTATGTGTGTATATATAAATATATATATATATATATATATATATGTGTGTGTGTGTGTATGTATATATATATATATATATATGTATGTATATATATATATATGTATATATATATATATATATATATATATATATGTATATATATATATATATATATATATGTATATATGTGTATGTATGTGTATATATATATATGTGTGTGTGTGTGTTTAATAATTTATTTATGCCAGACTCTGTGTTGCTGTGTTGGAGAGTCTGTAAAGAGAAGGTAAACCAATGCATTCTGCTGGAGAGTCTGAGCTTTTGAAAAACACATCTAAGAACTGAGTCATTATCAGAGGCAATCATTTTGGAGTGTTGGAACCATTCTGAGGAGGAATCGATAGATGTGAGAGAACATCTTTCTCTGGAAGAATATATATATTTAAACAAAAGCATATTTGCCAACCATGAGAGTGGGAGGCAAATAAATTTGGTGAGTACACACCTGAAGGGGGAGCACAGCACTTTTGGAGATATTTTTGACAGTCACGTGATGATTTTCTTGGGCAATTCAACTCACATGGTGATTGCAAAAGGACTTTTTATTTATGGACTTTTTGTTGATTATCACTTTATTATTTTCAGAGCACTGCACATATATTTTGTTATTACAGAATATGATTTGTTTATCATGTAAAAATTGACCTTGTTTATATTGAAAATCCATAATGATGGATCCAAAATGTATGGCTCTCAGACCAAGCTTGTGTTTAATAGAAGCATTCAGGGAGGCTACGTCTAAAGAAAGCCATCTATAACCTGGCTGCCATGAATATTTAGAAAGTATATCCAGCACATGGCTGGAGTCTTTCACATATGAAGGTAGGTTTATGATGAGATCCTTTAAAAAATTATCAATGCAGCAACCTGAATTGCTAGTGAAGCTATCTATGCCCGAAATGATGGGTCATCTGGGGGGAGTTTAGCATCTTTGTGGATTTTGGGAATGTGGTAAAATATGGAGTGGCTGGGTGTTTTTTAAATAAAACATAGTATTCATCTTTGGTTAGAACACCCTCCATTACTGCCATATCAAGTATACTCTTTAGTTCTTTCTTGTACTGTGTAACTGGGTCAACTGTGAGTACTTCATAGGTGTCACAGTCATCCAAGAGTCTCAGGGCCTCCCCAACATAGGTTTTCCTGTCTTGTATGACCAGGTCTCCTTCCTTATCTGCCTGTCTAATAATGACTCATCTATTCTGTTTGAATGGCCATGAAGGGGATCTGAGCTAGATAAGGCTTTACCCTTTGTGGTGCACAGGCTCTTATATTCGCTAAAAACCACTTTTTCATGGAAGGCAGGGATATGATTGCCCAGTGTGGGTAAAATGTGGATGCCGGTCTAAAGCTAGTATGTATGATATTTTCTTTGGATATTCCTGCAAGATTGATGTTAGTTTTAAACTCTATTTCTGCATCCTCACAATGTCCTTTAGTATACAGGTACTTCAAAGCTTTCAGTATGGAATCATCAATATCCTTGGGGGAGGGGCTAGTAATAGTAACCTCTGTAGAATTATTGTCTGATTCTTTTTTAAGGGCATGATACCCTTTTACTTTATGTTGCATATGAATTTATATAAGTCTATAAAAAGTTCAAAAATATTAGGTGGGTTAGGAGGAGCAAAGTTGAGACCTTTTGTTCAATAAGGCGAGTTAGGTCTCAGTAAACACTGAATTAGAGAGACTAAAAATCTTGATGGTGCTATGTGTGAAGTTGTTACTTTTTTCCTCTTTTTGGACATCTTTATTCCTCCTCTTCTTCCCCTTCTCGTGTGCTTCCCCTCTTTCTTATGTTCAAGGCAGTCTTTGATGTGTCCCCCTCCTTCCAGGCTGCAAGTGTTTGAGCACTTGCAGCCCCGGTTTCTAAAAAATACTCCCCGTCAGTAGTATGTTGAGTTGTACTTGCTACATGTTCTATGTGGGTAGTACTGGCAAGAGTGTGGTTGTGGGTGTTTTCATCCTTTTGGCTGGAAGTGGAAGCTGAAGCTATATTGTCCTTGCTATGTCTGGTCAGAATTCCAGTCCTAGACACTGGTGGACCATTCTTAGCTTGTCCATACTGGGCAGTAGAGGGTAATTCTTACGTGGTCTAAATTGTACTGGTTTGGAATTAGCATTAAGTTTTAAACCTGTTGTTTTTATTACTATTATTGCAAAAATTTTTGTTATGCTGGTGACTGTTTCTAAGAGGATGATCGCAAAAATGTTCTTGGATAATTGGTTGCTGGAATTGACTCCCTCTTTTGTGGATTACCATGATAGTACCTGTTGTTATTACTATGGAAATGCTGGTTGTGAACCTTATGGTGCAGATTACTATATTGTGATCTATTGTTGGATCCAGGCTCAACATGCTTACGTGTAGTACTGGCTTTATCTGGGGGGTGATGTCTGATCTTCCTGACTGTTAGAATGGTAAGGTCCGTGTGGTTGCCAATTGAACTCCTGCCTGTGTAGATAATCAAGTCTATCCCTTTCAAATTTGTCAGACATATTACTGATTAAATCAGTTTCAAAACACATCATTTGATCATTGACTCTTATCCCCCTTATCAAAGTTCTCAATGTCAGTATAGAAACGTAACTCATCTGGTATATTATTAATATCTAGCCAGATTTTATGTAAATTTCTTTCTCTTTGTTGGATGATGAGGTTGAGCCATAATCTATTAAATTTTCTCAACTCTGTCCATACGATTTGTGAGCGGGTATCCGCTCTGCAGGGTGTCCCCATCGGCTGCTCCATTTCCGTAAACCGTACATGACGTCATCGGAAGTGACGTTCCTCGTTTACCGAAAGTCATGGCTGGAACACACGCACATGCCGAACTTGTTTTCGGGTGGCGTGCGTTCCATCAAGCTACACTGCACCCTGATGGGTGATACAATTTTTATCCCCCCCGCTCTCAGTGCCAACACACACTAATTCCTATAGAGGAACACTCAAATAATTCTGAAGGAACTGGTTCAGAGATGCATGAACTACATAGCATTTATTACATAGTGTTGCCCAGTAAGAATGCATATACATGCAGGTCAATTGATCTGTTGATTTTATTTCCAAGTTATATAATTTTCTAACATGTTTTAGCATCTCTCATTTATTTATTTATATTTTTTATATATACATTTATGTGTGGTATATGTTGATTATTATTTGTCATTTGCCATAATTGCAGCCAGCTGTACATTGATTGGGTTATCACCTCACCCTTGAGTGGGAGAAGCTTGTACAATATCATGTGACCTCATCATTTGGTATATTAAGACTGTTATACAACATGTAAGATTGGCTCAGCGGAAGAGGGGATCACCCCTCGAAACACATCAGCCATCCGAAGGCTTCTCTCTTGGGAGCTGATTTGGTCACTTTGGACTCTGATACGCTTTTGTTACCACAGCTGTTTGTGAATATATATATACTGTATACTTTGGATTTAATAAACTTATTTTTCAGGTAGTGCACTAGGCTGGTGTGCCCCCTCCCCCTTGTTTTACAATAAATGCTAGATGCCTGGCTTTGACTTGATTCAGTATTTTGACTCTCTGAACTGGAAAAAACTTGCAACATCCAAAATTCTAATTGAAAACTCCTGATCTGCATATTGTTTTGGGATGGATCAACATGAAACCCATACAGCTAGCATTATGAAAAGAGAGGTTTGTAAAGGCAGTCTCCATTTTTTATGGCACACACTTCCATTGTAAACATTGAACTAAATATAGGGGCAGATTTACTAAACCTGGATAGTACAAAGTCTGGTGCAGTTCTGCATAGAAACCAATCGGCTTCTAACTTCAGTTTGTTCGGTTAAGCTTTGTCAATAAAACATGGAAGCTGATTGGTTTCTGTGCAGAGCTGCATCAGATTTTGCACTCTCCAATTTTAGTAAATAACCCCCACTGTGTTTAATATATTCACACATTCATTAGGCAAGTTCTGGTATATAATAGTACTCTCAGTATATAGCGCTCCTACAACTAAATCATATAAAAAAAATCAAGTGCATTATTCACAACACAATGTAACATCAAAATGCTAGTAATGTACATTCAAGGTGCAAATTTCCTCTTCCTTAGAGCTTTACTGTGTAAAGTGCTCCGTGCAAATTGTGTAAAACAAACCTGTAGATTGCACCATAAACAGTTCTTTAAATCGGTGATTTCTTCTGTGCTTCATGCCACCACCACCACACTGGAAAACTCACCAGATAACCATGACCTCTTGCTTAAAAGTAGGTCTATATGTGCTTTAAAACATCCAGGGCTGCATCCAGGGCTCTCTCCTCACAGTATCACCCGGATTATCATAGAATCAGAGGGGAGAAAGACTCTAATAGCATAAAACCTTCTTATTAAATTGACCAATTTATACAGCAGGATTCTTATTTACATAAACAAATGCTAATACATTTTCTTAAGTGTTGTCAAATTCCATTTGTTCAACACATATCAGTCAGTGTATGGTGACCTTAAATGAATTGTTATAATACGAAAGCAATAAAAGTGAGCGCTCTTGTGGGTAAGCAGCTAGACACTCAAGAAAACCAAATAAAGCCTTGTGGAAAACGCATAAAAAAAAACATGCAGCGCTAGTCAGTAAAATAAGGTACAAAAATTATTCCAAATGACTAAAAAGACAATGAAGCAGTCATAAAATGATTCTAAAATAATGTAAACAAATGTTCCGTATTGCAACCAAAAACTTATTGATAGTCTATATATAGTGTTCCCCTTTAAAATCCGCAGTGATGTTCCAAGTAATGTAGAGAGAGATTGTGCACTCACCAGATGCACAATGTAAATGTGCATACAGAAAAATCCACAGAAGCCTCCTTTAAGGGTCTGGTCTGGGATGGGGGAAGATATCCTCCCTCTAGGTGGTTGGACTGGTCAGGAACACACAGAGATAATCCTCCCTCTGAGTGGGTGGTAGTAACAGGAGCACACGGGGTGATAAGAAGATCCAGCTGGCCAGAGATCCCTTTAAGGGATAGGTGGGTTCAGGTGCCTGGATACAGGATCTCCCTTCTCTGGAATCTTTAGTGTTGCTGGATCAGGCAGGTGCTATGAATAAATAACTCCACCAGGGGGAGTATAGGAAATACTCATAGTGTAGTAGTTAATATATGTAACATTTATTAAAGAGTAGCCATAATAAAAACATAAGTAATTCGCTCAAATGAATGCAGAGTATGGCAGCAGTGTGCAGCATATGAGAAAATGCAGAGTATGACAGCGGTGTGCATCGGACTAACCGTCCAGAAAAAAAAGAGATGTCCGCCGGGCCTCCGCGTGGCTCTGGCGACTTAACGTCACAGCATCTTTGCCCCCTCTGACGCGTTTCGTGCGCACGCACGTCTTCAGAGGCAGAGGCTGAAGAAGTGGACGGAACATTTATTTACATTATTTTAGAATCATTTTATGACTGCTTCATTGTCTTTTTAGTCATTTGGAATAATTTTGTACCTTATTTTACTGACTAGCGCTGCACGTTTTTTTATGCGTAATAGTTATAATAATTTAACTTATTTTTTTGAGTTTCATTGGCCATATATTTAGCCTTTTATTATTTCCATCAAATGGATGGCTTTCTCAATCCAAGAATTTAAATATATATATATATATATATATATAAAAATATAAAGTATGAAAATGATATAAAATTTATAAAGTTATCAAAATCTAAAAAAAAAAAATTTAAACAAAATACTCAGAAATTAAAAATTTGCAGTAAAGCAGTTTAAATCAATATCTATGTTATTAGATCACATATGATTTTACATGATTTATATTTAGTTATAGGAGCGCTGTATACTGAGAGCACAACTTGTATTATACAGTTGCTGGCGTTGTGGGCCTTTTAGCGCGGGTGTTGATGGTTTAAATACATTTTGGTATATAAAGGCTTAACTTTAATTCTTAACAATGTCACAGACAATGTGCTTGGAATTGCTTGTAAAATTGGATTTGGTGAATAATCCAACCAGGGAGGTTTGCATAGATTATTGATTTTACCAGGTCAATGTATTTTATTTATTTCAGGGGTATGACACTCTGTGACACTGTAACAAAATACAGTTTAACGCATGCAGACCTTTGGGCTGGATTATTAGCAAATACTGAGCAGAAGGTGTATCATAAAAGCAATTAAATAAAAGACATTTTAAATCTGTTTTGTCATATTTCCAGATGTCAGAAAAAGAGTGGCTACTATAGGTGTCAGGTCTTCAAACAACTGCTTTCTCTAATGTTACCTAAAAGCTTGTGTTGATGGGCAAATGGAGCTCGCTTTCAGGTGTGTTCTGCTTGCATTCGGGATCAGTTTGAGATGCTTCTGAGGTCATTTACTATTTGTTGACAAGCATATCTTACCTGAATTTGGCCTCTAAAGGTGCAATAACTTGCTTCAATCTGCTTTTGCTACCCCATTGACTTGTATGAGGAGAAAAGCAGTTATGACATGAAAAAAAGCCCATCAACACATTCCCCAATATACAAAAGGTGAAGGTTGACTGGCTGCAACATAGGCATTTCTATGAGACATTTTTAGTAAATAAAACATTTAAACTTCCAATGTATGTTTGTTCCTAGATGCCCCATGAATCTACTGTGGAGCATATTCATGTAGATATTAATGAATCTGAATCCCCAATGGCAACAAGAAACCGCAGTTCCCTGGACTACAAAGACTCTGACTTCAAGCGACATCATTTGACCCGCTCCATCAGTGAGATCAAACCTCCCAACCTCTTCCCACAGGCCCCACAGGAGATTACACACTGCCATGATGAGGATGATGATGAGGAGGAGGAAGAAGAGGAGGAGGAAGAGGAAGAGTAAAATCCTGCAAGACAAGCATTATCCTAAACAGGATATAATATTACCACAAGTCACTGTAATATTTTACAAAGAAACATTTCCTCCCATGAGAGAATTTTCCATTCACTCAGAGAAAGAAACATTTCTTTTTCTCTGGATTTGATTTCCCGATTTCCCGTCCAACGTTCTGAATGCAAGTTGGCATTTGCACTCACTTCCTCCAAGTCATACATTTCTGTCAGAGAGTTCCATGGACCTCTTCTGTGAGAGATGTGGCACAGTATTTACTACATTCTGTTTTCTATTGTAGTTTTTATACTTCCAAATCCATCCCGCAGTGTGTTGTCTGCAGAGCTAATGGATAATGAGGCACACAGCTCCTTTGAGCACATAGGTTTTGTATATTACAGAATAGCACCTTCTCTCTGGCGCTGTAGTTAGTGAATTATTTAGTATTGGCAGTGGAGCGCTTGATGTGTTCCATTTCGGTTACCAGGTAATGGTTGTCCTGTATGACGTCCATTCACTGATATTGGGGATTTGATGTGTTCCTCTGATCGGAAAATAGCGATGTGAGCTCCCTCTTGTGGACGATAATATCCTGGCAAAGTCTAATAGAATTGCCAGTGGCAGCCTATGCTCTTATGCAGTGCATGTCACATTTATCCAGCATAGTACTTGTGCTGCAACTTGTCATTAAATGCGCTGTGGTGGAATCATCTCTTTTATGTTATGAAAGGACCGTTTTAAAGGGAACCTAGCATCAAGATGCAATGTCTGCTTATTCTTTCCTGCCCCAACCCTCTATATAAAAAGGTGACATAAAAAAAAAAAAAAACAATTCTGGTAAAAATATAATTACCTTATGGCACTGTTTCCACCCATAATGATTAGAAGAGGGTGATGTCATGGTTCCTCCTGTGGGATCCTGGGAAAGCTGAGGATCACAGATCTTGGGACAAGATGACACAATGCAGTGAAGTTTGAATCCTTTACTTTCTCAGGATTTTGCCAGGAGGATGTTGCCCTCACCAAGGCACCACAGGCAGAGCTCACAGTTGTAGGGTAGGTATATATTTTTTAAAACCTTTAATGCCACATTTTTACATAGGCTGGCAGAAATCTAAAGGATAGGCATTTTGGTGCAGGGTCTGCTTTAATGAATAGATCTGTTATTTGCAGTGAGCTATAGCGACAAGTCAGATTTCCTCTTTTCTCAGTTGTTAGCAGACTGTTGAAAAGTATCTTCTGATTGGCTGCTTGTGTTACACTGAATAACAGTTTAATCCAAATACATGGCTGCCTCCACTGTATTCCTAATTATTCATGCTTGCACAGTGTTGCAAAGTGTAAGTTCAGTTTTGCTGTGATTTTTTTTTTTTTTTTATATCCAAAAATCACCTATTTTATATCCAAAAATCACCTAGGTGAGCATTTGTGGCCTCTTGGACTACTGTTATCAAATGCTTTGCTTTGTATTGCTCTGGAAAAACTGTAAGGTTGACAATACTGTTCTAGCTAGTGCTTTTGTGTTCAACGACATTTACAGAGCGCGTTGTTAGAAAGTATTTAACTAGAAAAGCACAATACAGGACAGCACAATGCTGCAGATTTGTGTTTGTCAATAAATCACACTCATTTATTACATGTTCATTCCCTCCATGATAGAAGGGCAGGCGGTTTTATGTATATTGCAGCATGGGCACCTACACATGTCACATCTATGTCATATCTTAGACGGTACACACAGGGTTGTCATTTCATCCTGCTAATGTGATTTCTCAGCAAGTGCAGACATTGAGATATGTCATAGGAAAATGCTGATGAGATAAGTGGCAGGTAACCTGTTGTCTGTCTCTGCTATGCATTGTAAGCACTTCATCTGCCAAGAAGCAAAATGTGGAAGCTGGATTAATGGACCAATACACCTACAATACAGCTTGCCTCATATAAAAGAACTGTTCATAAGATTCACAAATATATATGTAAGAATGTATATATTTACACTTCACTTAAAGTGAACACGTTTTACAAATGGAGGGCAAAGCAACAGGTTAACTTTGTTACAGCCCTCCACAGCATTTACTTACATTTGTTTGGTTCCACTCAGTTGTGTCATATGCTCCTCCACACTGGGAAGTAACAGTATTTTCATTGCCTCCCGAATCTGATCAGAGCATCAGGGGAATGAAGGAGAGGTAGGTAAATGCTTCTGGGAGGGTGGGGATGAGGGGCCATGCAAACCTGTTGTTTTGCCCTGAATAAAAAACACACATTTGCAGTAGGGAATTAGACATGGTATTTAGGGTTAAGGAACCTCTGATTTATCTGTCATTCATTTATTTTTTTTTTTCTTTTCTGGTTGACATGCTTTGTAAAGCAGTGTAACAGGAAGTCAGCCATGTTTTAGTAAAATTACCCTCTTCAGTACATACATTTACTAAGTGTGGAAGGACTAGATCCTCTGGCAGGTTTTTATTTTTTATTCCAGGCTTCCTTTTTCTTTCTGTCCAACTGATATTCAGGTCATCTTCCTGAGCTGAACAGGTTATCCCTTTCTATATAATACTATGGAGAATATGCTAGGAAGCCAGTGACACTGTCACCAAGAGAATTTTCCCAAGGAACAGGAAGTTCAGCCTGCCACAATATCCTGCTTATCAGTGAAGGGAAATCCTCTCAGTGGGCAAAAGAACATGACAGAGGATCCAACTCTTTAAAAAATAGAAACATTTCGAGTTCCAAAATCAGAGCTAGTAAACTGATATATATATATATATATATATGTATGTACTGCTGGTGAATATTATTAGTTGCAGTTCAGATCTTGGTAAATGAACATGTATTTATATTTATTGGACCCTTAAGGAGAGTCAATTGGCATGCAATAGCTTTTACATTATTCCAAAACACAGTATAGACTGGTATACACATATATAATGTTTTCTGAGCCCAGTCTGGCCAGAAAGTGAACAGAGATCTCTGTGTCCTGCCACTGATGGATAGTATGAATGATCATTTGGGTAGCTGTGACATCACTTCTCTTTTTCTGCATTATAGAGTATGTGTTTTATCTTCAGCAACCCTGTATTGATCATATTCAAAACACAGACCAACTAATTCATGTTCTGTAGAAGAAACATAGGAAACTTTGTTTTACCCATTTACAGAACTATATAATACATTAAGCATGTTGGCATTATATTGTAGTGCAGGACTGTGTTTTCAGAAGTCATTCTGCTTTCAGGGCATGCTGAGACCTCTAGTGCTAGCAAAGTTTGACAGGTCCTCTTATTGATACTCATGTGCAGAAACTGTAGCGGATCCATATACAGCCCTGCTGCAGTTCGGTACTTACTGATGTCAGTAGTTGTAGAATCATTAGAAATATACAATCTACAAAAAAAACATATTTTGAAAGAACTCTCCAAGTTTGTATGAACATCTAATTCTCTAACCTTTCATATACATAGTCTATGCCCTTCAACCAATGTGTATGTTGATCTTTTCTTTTAACCAATACATTTTATTCATATAAGATTTTAATTTAATTTTGTAGTTATTTTGCATGTTTTATAGGCTTAAAAATAAGTTCTGCCACTATATCTGTTTTTCCAACAGGGTATTTAGGACTGATAACATATTTATCCTTGTTTGACGCATTATTTTGTTTATTGAAAGTGACCAATATAGTGTATTGCAGCTTTTGTTTCTGTTGAGATTGCAAGGTTTATAATGTGATTTATTTTTTAGCTTGTAGTTTCTTTACTATTTCTGAAGACTGAGTCCACCCATAATTGAGGTAGAAACAGGTTAGTAAAATAGGTGGGTGGAGCTAGGAACTTGGTGCAGGAATCCTGTCACTGTGGTCCTCAATTGGCAAGAGATACCAGTGAGCATCCAGTCAGCATCCACTTAAAACTAAAAAAAAAATCCACATTTAGGAATGTGGTTGTAAAGGTAAAGGTTTTTTTTTCTTAATGCATTCTCTGCATGAAGGTAAAGAAAAACCTTTAACAGTAACTCCCCTGCCCCCCCCCCCCCCCCCCCCAAAATACTCATCTGAGCCTGATTTTGGTCCAGTGTTGCGCTCATCTGCCCTCTCCCCCACTCTCACAGGCTCAGTTGAGAGCAGCGGGCGACATTGGCTCCTGTTGCTGTTAGTCAAAACCTGTGTCAGGGGGGCAGGTTCAAGCTGGTTGTGTGTTTGAATACATGCAAACAGCCCAGCTCGGGGTTGAGCACACACAAAAGCCTCCATAGGAAGCGGCTTGCTATGGGAACACTTGGCAGGAGCAGCGGCAGGGTACCCCAGAAGAGGCAGTTTGGGTCCACTCTGTTTAAAAGCACTGTACAGAGCAGGTAAGTATCACATGTTAAATATTTAATGAAAAAAAATAAAGCTTTACAATCACTTTAAAATTTTACACAACACCTTTTTTAGTGGCCATTCTTTATCTCCTGCCTTATATATGGGATAGATGTTCAGTACTATGGTTTTTTTTTTTTCTCCAGTTACCTTTATTTTTGTATTGATATCCTTTACATGATGTATGAATAGTTTAAAGAAGAGGTGATAATGGGCTCCAGTGGTATCGCCTCTCCTTGGGCTTGGTCTGATGCATACTTTCTTTCTATATGGTCTCTGACTGAACTGCCTGCAGTTCCAGGTTCAGTGGTTCCAGTCAGTGGTTCCAGTTCCATAGTCTACTCTTCAACACATTTCATGACAAGCCTTAATTCATACCAACCAGACAGGAGGCCCAAATTACCCAGTCACATCCCCCTTCTGCTTTTCAAGAGGTAGTTTAGAAAATGAATCCTGAAATCCAATAGATCACCATTGGCAGTGTTTCCACTTTTTTGCTTCATTGTTCATAAATCAGCTTTACAGTACAATCTTTAAAGCAGAACTCCAGCCAAAGTTTTTATTTTCCAATTTTCCCACTGCACGGGTTAACAGCTTTTCCCTGAGCCCCTGGACAAAACAAGCAATCTGTCCTCAGATCCTCTGGAAAACA